GATCTGCAGAACATCGCTCCCTCCCCTCCCCCTCCTGACAGATCCATATTGTATATATTCTGCAGATTATTCCACCTCTGAGATCTGCAGAACATCGCTCCATCCCCTCCCCCTCCTGACAGATCCATATTGATATATTTTGCACAGCGTTCCATCACTGACCCCCCTCTACAGATCTGCAGAACATCGCTCATCGTCCCCTCCCCCTCCTGACAGATACATATTGTATATATTCTGCAGATTATCCCACCTCTGAGATCTGCAGAACATCGCTCGCGCTCCGTCCCATTAACACTTTTAGTTAATAAAATGTGGATGTTTGTAGGCTGTGCGCTGGTTTCGGTCCGTTTCGTGGCTCTCGATCTCCGGGGACGGAACCACGGGCCGATGTTGCTCGTGCGGTTGTTTAGTACACACGGTTTTATAACTCCGGCCATAAAAATGTAATATTTGTTCCCGGGGATTGTCTGGTCAGTACTTTGTCCTCATCTCTCTGGTCTTCTGTTTGCTCTTCTGTGATATAAAAGTGGAGTTTTTATATCTTTTCATATGAAGGGTTTGATGGAAGTTCAGCCTATGAGAGAGCGAGGAGCCCCCCCCCCACCACTTGTTGATATAACCAGGCAGGAGGAGTGCTGTGGGACAGTCACACTGCGTGATCGCTGAGCTCTGGAAAACCACTCCAGTATAGTGTCATTCCAAGAACAGGGTGTGAGGCTGACATGAACGAGTCTCGCTGAGAGAGGAGCACGCTGAATCCAGACCCTGGCCAGCCTTCGGAGGGTCCTCCTCACCTAAGAACAACCTAGGAGGAACCTGGGACTGGAAAACTACTCCACTGGGCTCATGGAACCTCTAGAGTGTGGTGGACACCCAATGGATCATCTGGAGATGATCTTCAGCTGAGATCACGGAAGAGCACAGTCCTGAAATAAGTTGCCTTGTTGGAGCCTCTATATATGGTGGACACCCAATGGACTATCTGGAGAAGATGACTCTCAACTGAGATCACTTAAGAGCACAGTCCTGAAATAAGTTGCCTTGTTGGAACCTCTAGATGTGGTGGACACCCAATGGACTATCTGGAGCAGATGACTCTCAACTGAGATCACGTAAGAGCACAGTCCTGAAATAAGTTGCCTTGTTGGAACCTCTAGATGTGGTGGACACACCAATGGACTATCTGGAGCAGATGACTCTCAACTGAGATCACGTAAGAGCACAGTCCTTCTGAAATAAGTTGCCTAGTTGGAGCCTCTAGATGTGGTGGACACCCAATGGACTATCTGGAGAAGATGGCTCTCAACTGAGGTCAGGGAAGAGCACAGTCCTTCTGAAATAAGTTGCCTTGTTGGAGCCTCTAGATGTGGTGGACACCCAATGGACTATCTGGAGCAGATGACTCTCAACTGAGATCACGTAAGAGCACAGTCCTGAAATAAGTTGCCTTGTTGGAGCCTCTAGATGTGGTGGACACCCAATGGACTATCTGGAGCAGATGACTCTCAACTGAGGTCAGGGAAGAGCACAGTCCTTCTGAAATAAGTTCCCGTATTTCCAGACTTCAGTGTATTTTTAGACACCTGCCAGAGATGGATTTCAACTTCTCATCAGCGCTTGCTTGGAACGCCACGCAATATGACGCCACAGTCAGCGTGGACTACGATGCCACCATCCCAACCTATGGACTGGTGAGCTTCCAAATCCTAATTGCTGTCATCTATTCCATGGTCTGCACAGTGGGGCTGCTGGGCAACTTCTTCGTCATGTACCTGATAAGGATAAAGAGGGTCACTGGTCTCACCGCCATCGATATTTTTGTCTTCTGCCTGGCGCTGAGCGATTTTCAGTTTGCCTTCACCTTGCCTTTCTGGGCTGGAGATGCCATCATGGATTTTAGCTGGCCGTTTGGACCCCCCATGTGCAAAATCGTCCTCACCATGACTGTGCTGAGTGTCCTACTACAACGTGTTCCTCCTGACTGCTATGGCGGTGACAAGATATTGGTTGGTGGCTTCGGCGCTGAGCCTCAAGTGTACCGTGTCCACCACAGTAGCCAAGTGGATCAGCTTCACCCTGTGGCTTTTTGCCCTTGTGGCCACCATACCCACCATTATTTTTTGCCAGCACCAAAGAGGTCCTGGGGGATCAACTTTGCTTGTTGAAGTTCCCAGAAAAAAAGTGGTTGGCCATCTACCACATCCAAAGGATTACCATCGCATTTTTCATACCTCTTATCGTCATATCTACGTCCTACATAATGCTGCTGAACTTCTTGAGACAACACAAGGTGAACGCCAACAACCACCATCGGCAGAGCAAGATCACCAACTCCATCCAAATGGTTATTGTAGTCTCTTTTCGTCTGTTGGTTCCCCAACCATGCTGGCGTTTTATGGGGCATTCTCATGAAGTTCGAGGTGGTCCAGTGAGCAACGCCTACTATTACTTCCATACCTACGTCTATCCAATTACGGTATGTCTTGCCCACAGCAACAGCTGCCTGAACCCCGTCATCTACTGCCTAATGAGGAAGGAATTTCGAAAGTCCCTAATGGCACTGTTTGGGCAACTGAAGCGCATGTCATTGGCTTTTTTCCTTCAGCCAAACGTGCTAACAGGGACCAGGAGACGGCCGTGCCTCTTTACCGAAAGTCAAGCTTTCCCCAAACCAACAGTAAGGAGTCTCACGGACCTTCAATTTCCACCATCACAATTCTTCCCGAAAGTCTGCCCAAGGACCAAATTTGCCACAATGGATCAACGTTGAAAGAGGAGACCTCAATAGACTAGCCCAGCATCTGTGAGTAAGGAGTCTCATGGACCTTCAATTTCCCACCATCAGAATTCTCTTCCCGAAAGTCTGCCCAAGGACCACATTCGGCCACAATGGGTCAACGTTGAAAGAGGAGACCTCAATAGACTAGCCCAGCATCCGTGAGTAAGGAGTCTCATGGACCTTCAATTCCCACCATCAGAATTCTTCTCGAAAGTCTGCCCAAGGACCAAATTCGGGCACAATGGGTCAACGTTGAAAGAGGAGACCTCAATAGACTAGCCCAGCATCCGTGAGTAAGGAGTCTCATGGACCTTCAATTCCCACCATCAGAATTCTTCTCGAAAGTCTGCCCAAGGACCACATTCGGCACAATGGGTCAACGTTGAAAGAGGAGACCTCAATAGACTAGCCCAGCATCCGTGAGTAAGGAGTCTCATGGACCTTCAATTTCCACCATCAGAATTCTTCCCGAAAGTCTGCCCAAGGACCAAATTCGCCACAATGGATCAACGTTGAAAGAGGAGACCTCAATAGACTAGCCCAGCATCTGTGAGTAAGGAGTCTCATGGACCTTCAATTTTCCACCATCAGAATTCTTCCCGAAAGTCTGCCCAAGGACCACATTCGGCACAATGGGTCAACGTTGAGAGAGGAGACCTCAATAGACTAGCCCAGCATCCGTGAATAAGGAGTCTCATGGACCTTCAATTCCCACCATCAGAATTCTTCCCGAAAGTCTGCCCAAGGACCACATTCGGCACAATGGGTCAACGTTGAAAGAGGAGACCTCAATAGACTAGCCCAGCATCCGTGAGTAAGGAGTCTCATGGACCTTCAATTCCCACCATCAGAATTCTTCCCGAAAGTCTGCCCAAGGACCACATTCGGCACAATGGGTCAACGTTGAAAGAGGAGACCTCAATAGACTAGCCCAGCATCCGTGAGTAAGGAGTCTCATGGACCTTCAATTCCCACCATCAGAATTCTTCCCGAAAGTCTGCCCAAGGACCAAATTCGGCACAATGGGTCAACGTTGAGAGAGGAGATCTCAATAGACTAACCCAGCATCCGTGAACCGCGAAGGTAGAAAACGGTCTTTTTTTTTTTTTCCACCCAGTCCTGAATGTTGGGACTGTCAAGACGGGGAAAATAATGAGACCAAGGGTCTGTTTTGAGTTAGCCTAACGTGAAGAATCGGCCAACGACCGCGTTGTCGTCGCAACTAATTCTGTTGAGTGTTTGATACCAGAGACACTTCAAAGCCTGCGGTAGGTTCCTCAAACATTAAAACGCACTTAAAAGCATCAATACCAGTGATTTGTCTAATGACGCGGAACGGCGGATCGTTCACCGGCAAACACGGGCTCTCCGGAACGCCTCCGCGTGCATTATTGAGCTGCCGCGGCCTTTGGTGCGTCCGGAGCAACCTAATCAGAATCCAAGCTGGATGAACACAAATTACGAGGTGAAGGACGGGGGAACTTCTCTGCTGGCCGTGCCGTCCTATAGGTCGCCAGCGTTGTCACACGCCTCATTAGTTGGACAAGTAAACGAGGCGATTTGTCGTCAGGAGAAAATGGAACCGCTCAAGTCCTCCGACAATTTGATCGAACGCTTGGATTGTCAAAAACGAAAAAAAATGTTTTCATGGAGGGGCATTAATGATTGCTTTCAACGATAACTGAAAAAAAATTCCAGAAAGATTTGCAAATGTTGAGGAGGGGGAGGGGAAGGAAGGATTTTAGCTCCCTCCCGCTGTCTGTCCATTCGGAATTCTCACCTCCGTGCCCGTCATTCGCGGCTTGTCTCGGTATTTCACGTTTGGGGCTCTTCAGTAGATACAAGTCGGAGGTTTCTTCTTCTTTTTATTGAACTGTATATACTGTACATGTGATGTAGACGATTCTGTGACTCGGCGCTGATTGTGCGTTTATACATTGTGATTTGTATGGTATAGTTTATATTCCTGAACATAGGGGGAGCCACATGTCATCGTTGTATGGGGGGGGGGGGGGGGGGGCTCCAGACTTCGCAGTTACAAGGGACACAGTGTATAGTTTACAAATATTGGAGGGCTTTACAAATGAGTCCCCCCCCCCCCCTTTACATTCTGGAGTGCCCAGCAGAGTAGTCCTGTCCTCCCCATATATCCAGGAGTGTCACCCCTTTGCATCTAACAGTACTCAGCAGAGCCCCCCCCCCCCTTACATACAGGAGTGCCCAGTAGTCCTCCCAGACCCCCCCCCAGAGCAAGTCCCCCCCCCTTACATACAGGAGCAGGGGCGAACTGACCATTTGGAAACTCGGGCACTGCCCGAGGGCTCGGGGTCAGTAGGGGGCCCCATGAGTACCTTTTTCATAGGCTTTTTTGAGTTTGGGCAAGGACACAGGGGCCCCATGATCCCCTATTGCCCGGGGGCCCCATGAGTTTTCAGTCCCGCCCCTGTACAGGAGTGCCCAGTAGAGTTCCCCCCCCCCCTTACATACAGGAGTGCCCAGTAGTCCCCCCCCCCCCCCCCCTTACATCCAGAAGTACCCAGAAGAGTCCCCCCCCCCCCCCTTTACATCTAGGAGTACCCAGTAGAGTCCCCCTCCCTTATATCCAGGAGTGCGTAGCAGAGTCACCCCCCCCCCCCCTTTACATCCAGGAGTGCCCAACAGAGTCCCCCGTTCCCCCCCCCCCCCCCCCCACCTTACATCCAGGAGTATCCAGTAGAGTCCCCCTCCCTTATATCCAGAGTGCGTAGCAGAGTCACCCCCCCCCCCCCCCTTTACATCCAGGAGTGCCCAACAGAGTCCGTTCCCCCCCCCCCCCCCCCTTACTTCCAGGAGTATCCAGTAGAGTCCCCTTACCTTATATCCAGGAGTGCGTAGCAGAGTCACCCCCCCCCCTTACATCCAGGAGTATCCAGTAGAGGCCCCCCCCCTTACATCCAGGAGTGCCCAGTAGAGTAGCCCAGCAGACGTCCCCCCCCCCCCCCTTTACATCCAGGAGTGCCCAGCAGAGTCCCCCCCCCTTACATCCAGGAGTACCCAGTAGAGGCCCCCCCCCCTTACATCCAGGAGTACCCAGTAGAGCCCCCCCCTTTACATCCAGGAGTGCCCAGCAGAGTCGCCCCCCCCCCCTTACATCCAGAAAGTGCCCAGCAGAGTCGTCCCCCCCCCTTTACATACAAAAATGCCCAGCAGAGTCCCCCCCTCCCCCCTTTACATACAAAAATGCCCAGCAGAGTCCCCCCCCCCGCCCATTTGACACATAACAGGAATGCCCAGCAGAGTTCCCCCCCCCCTTTACATACAGGAATGCCCAGCAGAGTCCCCCCCCCTTTACATACAGGAATGCCCAGCAGAGTTCCCCCCCCCCCCTTTACATACAAGGAATGCCCAGCAGAGTCCCCCCCCCCCTTTACATACAGGAATGCCCAGCAGAGTCCCCCCCCCCTTTACATACAGGAATGCCCAGCAGAGTCCCCCCCCCCCTTTACATACAGGAATGCCCACAGAGTCCCCCCCCTTTACATACAGGAATGCCCAGCAGAGTCACTTACCCCCCCCCCCCCCCCCTTTACATACAGGAATGCCCAGCAGAGCCCCCCCCCTTTACATACAGGAATGCCCAGCAGAGTCCCCCCCCCCCCTTTTTACATACAGGAATGCCCAGCAGAGTCCCCCCCCCTTTACATACAGGAATGCCCAGCAGAGCCCCCCCCCCCCTTTACATACAGGAATGCCCAGCAGAGTCACCCCCCCCCCCCCTTAACATACAGGAATGCCCAGCAGAGCCCCCCCCCCCCTCCCTTTACATACAGGAATGCCCAGCAGAGAGAGCCCCCCCCCCCTCCCTTTACATACAAGGAATGCCCAGCAGAGTCACCCCCCCCCCCCCCCTTAACATACAGGAATGCCCAGCAGAGCCCCCCCCCCTCCCTTTACATACAGGAATGCCCAGCAGAGTCCCCCTTTACGATCAGGAATATTTGGCTGGCTGGTCCCCATATTACAATACGCAGCCCAATGCATCCACAGCCAGCCGGGGTTGCTGGGGGCCAGATGTGGCCCGGGCCGTGGGCCATAGTTTGGAGACCCCTGATATGGAATCTAGGCTCTGCATTCTGCTCTCTAGTGATTGGCTGAGAACAATGTGATCTCAGTGCAGCGTATTGGTTTTATCTCAGCAGTTGCTGGAGGGAGAAGCCAGTCAGAAGTTCCTTTCTGCTCAGTGTTCCGGTGTCCCACTGTACCCCTCATGTCAGCTGTGAGTAGAAGTGTTTTAAAGGGGCCACCGGACACCATGAGAAGCCCAATGTTCCATGAGATCACCCACCAGCTGAAATGGAGGTTCCTGAAAGTGTGTCGTTCAGTTATGGGTGGATATGTAGCTCTGCGATTCCAACAGAGTCTCCCCCCTCCTGCTGCATTGTCATTTATGGGCGGAGTTGAAGCCAAGAACTCACCATTGGAGTCTCCCAAGATTTGCCCTGAATTTGGAGGGTAATATGATGAGTCCACCGGCATCCACCCAAAACTGAAACCCCCGGCAGTGAGGCGAAGGGCCCCTGAAATTCAGATTGGTTGGCAGGATGACGACAGGCGACTGTCAGAAACCTATACTCCGATTTCTGGGAATGTCTGTGATAGCTGCTGCCCGTGAGTGATCTCCTCGAGCTGATGTACTTCTGTGTGTAGGAACGTGTTGGTTCTCAGCGCTGTCATGTCGGTCCGCAGCGCTGTCATGTCGGTCCGCAGTCTCTTGCCGTAATATTGATGTATGGACATTGGCTTATGCAGTGCCTTGAAAAAGTCTAAAACCCCCTTGAAAAATGTCTCACACCCCCTTGAAACCCCATGTTGATGTTACAATGTCCCCCATGTTGTCATGTTACAATGTATTCCCCCTTGAAATGTCCCCCATGTTGTCATGTTACAATGTATCCCCCCCATGTTGTCATGTTTACAATGTATCCCCCCCATGTTGTCATGTACAATGTATTCCCCCCCTCCATGTTGTCATGTTACAATGTATCCCCCCCCCCATGTTGTCATGTTACAATGTATTCCCCCCCATGTTGTCATGTTACAATGTATCTCCCCCCCCCATGTTGTCATGTTACAATGTATCCCCCCCCCATTGTTGTCATGTTACAATGTATCCCCCCCATATTGTCATGTTACAATGTATCTCCCCCCATGTTGTCATGTTACAATGTATTCACCCCCCCCATGTTATGTATCCCCCCCATGTGTTACAATGTATCTCCCCCCCCCCCCCCCCCATGTTGTCATGTTACAATGTATCCCCCCCCATGTTGTCATGTTACAATGTATCCCCCCCATGTTACAATGTATTGTCATGTTACAATGTATCCCCCCCCCCATGTTGTCATGTTACAATGTATCTCCCCCCCATGTTGTCATGTTACAATGTATCCCCCCCACATGTTGTCATGTTACAATGCATCCCCCCCCCCATGTTGTCATGTTACAATGTATTCCCCCCCATGTTGTCATGTTACAATGTATATCCCCCATGTTCCATGTTATCTCATGTTACAATGTATCCCCCCCATGTTGTCATGTTACAATGTATCTCCCCCCCCATGTTGTCATGTTACAATGTATCCCCCCCCCCATGTTGTCATGTTGTCATGTTATCCCCCCCCCCCATGTTGTTGTCATGTTACAATGTATCTCCCCCCCATGTTGTCATGTTACAATGTATCCCCCCCCCCATGTTATCATGTTACAATTTATCTATCGGGATTGGATGTGATGGACCGACACAAAGTGACACATAATTGTGAAGTGGAAGGATAATGAGAAATGGTTTCCAACATTTGTGACCAATAAATCTGTGAAAAGTGTGGTGACATTTGTATTCGGCCCCCCGGAGTCAATACTTTGTAGGACCCCCCTTTGGCTGCAATTCCAGCTGCAAGTCTTTTTGGGGATGTCTCTTTGCACATCTAGAGAGGGACATTTCTGTCCGTTCTTCTTTGCAGAATCCCTCAAGCTGTCAGATTGGATGGAGAGCGTCTGGGGAACAGCAATTTTCAGGTCTGGCCACAGATTCTCCATTGGATTTGGGTCTGGACTGTGACTGGGCCATTCTAACACATGAAGATGCTTTGATCAGAACCATTCCATTAGTAGGTCTGGCTGGATGTTTCGGGTCGTTGTCCTGCTGCTAGAAGGGGAACCTCCTCCCCGGTCTCAAGTCTTCCGCAGACTCCGAACAGGTTTTCTTCTAAGATTGCCCGTATTTGGCTCCATCCATCTTCCCATCAACTCTGACCAGCTTCCCTGTCCCTGCTGAAGAAAAGCATCCCCACCACATGATGCTGCCACCGCCATGTTTCACAGTGGGATGGTGTGTTCAGGGGATGGGCAGTGTTAGTTTGTTCTCCGCCACACATAAAGGCCAAAAAGTTCACTTTTGGTCTCCTCCGACCAGAGCCCCTTCTTCCACATGTTTTGCTGTGTCCCCCACATGGCTTCTCGGGACTTCTGGCTTTCCTCCAACAATGGCTTCTTCTTGTCACTCTTCCATAAAGGACAGATTTTGTTGACGACTAATAGCTGTCCTGAGGACAGATTCTCCCCCTGAGCTGTGATCTCTGCAGCTCCTCCAGAGTTCCCATGGGCCTCTTGGCTGCTTCTCTGAATGCTCTCCTTGCCGGGCCGGTCAGTTTAGGTGGGACGGCCATGTCTTGGTAGGTTGGCAGTTGTGCCGTTCTCTTCCCATTTTCGAATGATGGATTGAACACAGCGCTCCGTGAGATGGTCAAAGCTTGGGAGATTTTTTTTATAACCTAACCCTGCTTTACACTTCTCCACAACTTTATCCCTGACCTGTCTGGTGTGTTCCTTGGCCTTCATGATGCTGTTTGGTCACTAATGTTCTCTAACAAACCTCTGAGGGCTTCACAGAACAGCTGGATTTATACTGAGATCACATGACACACAGGGGGACTCTAGGTACTAATCAGGGGACTTCTGAAGGCAATTTGGTTCCACTAGATTTTAGTTAGTGGGATCAGAGTGAAGGGGGCCGAATACAAATGCCGCCACACTTTTCACAGATTTATTGGTCACAAATGTTGGAAACCATTTCTCATTTTCCTTCCACTTCACAATGATGTGCTGCTTTGTGTCGGTCCATCACATCCAATCCCAATAAATACATTGACGGTTCTGGTTGTCACCTGACAACAGGGGAGCATTTCAGGGGGGTGGGGGGGGGGGGGGGGGGGGGGGGGGGGGGGGCGACTTTTTCAAGGCGCTGTAGAACAAAAGGACCAGCATGAGGAAACCTCGCAAATCGTTCTGTGTAACATAAAGTCTGTTGTGTGATGATGAACTTCATTAAAACAAGGAAATGTCATTTTTCTTTGCGTTCTTCCTTTACAAGTTACAAGAGACTGCTAGAGAGACTGCTGCCAGATTACAGGGACTG